AAAACCTAGAAAGTGAGAGCTGCCGGGGATCGTGAAAATTTATGTTGAGAAAAACTAAAATGAAGAACGAAAATGGAAGCCAATTTGAAGAACCAAAACTTAGGGTATATGAATAAAATGAACACAAACCCGTAAAAAACCCGGAAACGCGTAGCTACTAAAAATAAAAAAAATCAACCCTTTTGCTTTTGATTCCCACACTCTCTCAACCCATAATTTTTCTCCAATCCTTTTTTCTTTTCCGTGAAATTCAAAACGTTTTATAGTAGAAAATTTTCTAAAATTTCTCTTAGAATCGAATCTCAAATCCTGAATTTTTTTATCAAAATTTTTTCTCTTTCAATTCATGATTAATGTGACATCAAAACAGGAAATTTGATCTTTGCTTCTTGTTAGTGTTGATTTTGGCAACAAATCCACGATTAATGCACAATCAAAAACAAGAAATTCGTGGAGGATTTGGGCGGATTCTCCCAAAGATATTTAAAGAGAATTTGCATTGGAGCGAACGATAGGTCGTCTTCTCCATTTCGATCCTATCGTTCACTCCAAACTTTCAGTTTGGTCCTCACTTTTCAATTTCAGCAATTATGTCCCTCTCGTGAATAATTTCAGCACAATTTCATCAATTAGGTCCCCGAGAGGTGCAATTTAAGGCTTAAATTTTTTAATTGACTCGATTACACCCCTAATTACTTCAATTGTGTCCCTAAATGAAATTTTTTTATGTTTTTTCATCATTTTCTTTATTTTTTTCTTTTTTTAAACTTCAAATTAAATTAAATTAAAAAATAAAATAAAATAAATAGTAATAATAATAATAAAAAAAAAAGGTGAATTTTGGGTCATTACATATTTGATTATTTATTTTATGTTAATATCATATGTGATAATATCAATCTAATAGAAAGCTCTAGAAGAGCGACTATATTATTATCTAAAGAGATAGATTTTGAAGGCTCTAAAAGAGCGATTATATCATGACTTGAAGAGATAAATTTTTGAAGCTCTAGAAGAGTGAATAAATTATTACTTGAGGAGAAAATGTTTAAAGGCTTTACAAGAGTCGATAAACCGTTACTTGAAGTGACTAATTTAAAGGCTCCAAAAGAGCAAATATGTTATTATCCGAAAGGATAAATTTATTATGAATGATGTACTATTCTCTTTAAAGTCTCATAAAAATTTGTTGAGTTTCAAAGATATTCATCCGAATTAATATCATATCAAGATAGCAAATGTGAATACTTATATGTTATAATCATTATATCGGGTAGAAAATATCTATCAAAAAATTTATCTGTTTTCTTTTCTAGTCTTTATTACAAACATTGAAATGATTGAAACAAATATTGTAGTAAACCGAAGTTTACTAATTCAAATACTTTTACTATGTGACATGACCAGTTGTGTTATCTTGGATCTTTCATGATGTAAAAAAATTATTAAAAAAATTTATATGAATATGTATTGAAGAGCCGGAAGATTCTTTAATTTAATGAACTTTCATGTTCTCGCATGTTGCCAAGGCAAATTGATGATTAAGTCATCATCAAGTAAAATTGAGATTGAATCTTCAGTATTTTAGAATGTATTCAAGGTGATATATGTGGATCAATTCATCCACCATGTGGACCATTTAAATATTTTACGATTTTGATAAATGCATCCACAAGATGATCACATATATGCTTATTATCTACTCAAAACCCGACGTTTTCGAGATTGCTAGCAAATAATTTGATTTCGAGCATAATTTTCAAATTATGTCATTAAAACAAGTCACCTTGATAACGTTGATGAATTTATTTCTCAAGCATTAAATTATTATTAATTGGCTATTAAAATAAAGCTTGAACATCCCGTTGCTCATGTTCATACTAAAAAAGGTTTAGCAAAATCATTTATCAAAAGACTCCAATTGATAGCTAAACCATTAGTTAAAAATAAAACTTCATGTTTATGTTTAGGGACATATAATCTTACATACAATAATATTTATTCACATTAGACCCGAAGTTATCGAAATTCTCTCCTTTTTAATTTGTTTATGGTCATAAGCCAAATATTTCTTATTTAAGAATTTTTTAACGTTGCAAGTGTATATCCTTAGTGCTCCTTCATAGGAAAATAAAATAGGCACTTAAAGGAGATTGAGAATATATATTGGATTTGAATCCCTTTTGATAATTAAATATTTTGAATCGTGAATAAGTGATATTTTTTCAGCTTGATTTATCAACTCGTCATTGTGATGAAATAGTTCTTCCAACATTGAGAGAGAGAATAAACAAAATAAGCGATTGAAAATATTGAAAAAGAGATTACATAAAGTACTCTATCTTTATATCAATTTGGTACAAAATAATGTGAATTAGAAGTTCGAAGATAATTCCTTTACAAGGTATTATAAACCAACTACTAGATGTATTCTCATATCCTAAGAGAGTAAATAAAATGCATGTCATCGTTGAGAATGCTTCTATTAAAATTGATGTCCTAGAAGGATAGTCTATTAATATTATAGCTAACGAATTTAAAGCACGTCCGAAGCATGAAAAACTCGATCGATTCTAAAGATAAAAATCCCTAAAAGAAAATGATGTAAATATTCATGAAATGGTCCAAGATATTTCGATAATATGCTTCCGAAGAAGTCCAAATGCTTGAGAAAATCAAGAGATTTTGATAAGAAATATCAATACGAGGAGAAAATAGGATTGAAAAGAAATATTTATCGATAAGATTTTTGCATATAATGTTGCAATTGATATTTTGAATGAAAATAAGGATCCCGAGCCTAAATTATTGAAGAATATTGACATAACGATGATTGGCCTAAATGAAAAGAGCAATCCATACATAATTATGTTCTCCTATAAAAGAGTAGTTTTTTTGAACCCATAACTAAAACACCCGAAGATATTAAGTCGGTGAGAAACAAATAAGTATTTAGGCGAATATGAAATAAGAAAGATGAGATTATAAGATACAAAAAAAAAACTTTCAACACAAGAGTTTTTACAAAGAACTCGACATTGACTATGAGGAGACATATTCTCCTATAATAGATGTAATTATCTTTTGTTATCTCACTAGCTCGGTAAAATATATGAAAAATATTCATATGCATGCATATAATGAATGTGACCATAATTTATTTATTCATTTGAGATGAATCAGCATGAAAGTCCTAGAAGGACTTAACATGCCGAAGCATGTAATATATATTATCGAGATAAGAATTCAATTAAATTATAGAGATCTCTATTAGGATTATTTTAGTATTTGTTTTATTATTTTGGTTTTTAGAAATTCAATTTATACTTTTATATTTTATTTTTGTATCTACTATTTATTACTAACCCATGTGCATGTGATATAGTCACTTTAATGATTATTTGTTGAAAGAAAGTTATAAAAAATAACCCTATTTGTTCATATGTTTTTATTTGAAAAGGGGTTTGTTGTATATGTTGATAATTTAAATATTATTGAAACTTTCGAAGAGATTCCAAGTGTCATAAGTTACCTAAAAAAAGGAATTTGATGTGAATATCTTAGGAAAATAAAATGTTATCTCGATCTATAGTTCGAGCACTCGGAGAATGAGATTTTCATTCATCGATCAATTTATATAGAAAAAGGTTCTACAATCATTCTATAGAAAGATCATTCATTGACTAGCCTAATGGTAGTTCATTCACTCGATATCCAAAAAAGACCTTTTTTGACCTCGAGAAGATAACGAAGAACTACTTGGTCTTGAAGTATCATATTTTAATGCCACTAGTGCATTGATGTATCTTGCTAATAATACTCGACTCGATATAGTTTTTTCTATAAATTTATTAGGAAGTCATAGTTATGTTTCAATATAGAGGCATTGGAATAAAGTTAAATATATAATACGTTATCTTTGAGGAATAATTGATATGGGCTTATATTACTCCAATAAATCAAAGACAAAATTAATTGGTTATGTAGATGTACGTTATTTATTTGATCTACACAAAGCTTGATCGCAATCGGTTATATATTTACATATACGGATCCAACTATATCTTTGTGTTCTATAAAGCAAACTATAGCCGTCACATCTTCAAATCATGCGAAATATTAATTCACGAGGCAAGTCGAGAATATGTTTAGCTAAGATTAATGATCCATCGTATCCGAGAGACATGCAGTTTATTTATCAACAAAAGAAGTTCTAACAATATCATACGAGGATAATGCTACTTGCATAATTCCATTGAAAGAAGAATACATTAAAGTGACAATCCAACATATTTATTCGCTAAAGCATTACCTACCACAACTTTTGAGAAGATGATTCACAAGATTGAAATACATCTTCTAAGAGATTTCAAATGATGTTTTCAACGAGGGGATGCCAACATTGAGATTAATGTGTACAAGGAATATTATACTATTTTTCCTTCACTAGGATTTTTTTTCACCGGGTTTTTTCCTAGTAAGGTTTTAACGAGACATGTTCCTTGTACAATGGACATTCAAGGGGAGTGTTATGAAATAATGAATGTCTATCATCATGTTCATTCACTTTTCATATCCTCACTACTCATAATTCTTAATATAATTCAATTCATCATTCAATATGAGAAATTGAAAGGGTGATGTAATTGATTATTCATAATCCATTTGAATTCTCTCCTCAATTTTGAAGCCTATAAATAAGCTTGATTTTTCATTAGTTTGTGTACAAGTTTTTTAGAGTGAATAAGATAAACTTTGAAGTTCTTATTACTTATATTTACATTATAGTGATTTTATTTTCTTATCATCATTTTCTTCAATTCTCATATTATTTTTATTTATTTTATAACAATTAAAATTTTCTTCTATTTTTCTGAACTAAAGTTCGTTTATCATTGTTCTTACATCAATACAGCGAACCCCAAATTTATGTCCATCAAAAAATTGTAATAGAGTAAATACTAATAGTGCCCATATGATAAGGGCTATATAGTAAATTACTAGGCATAGACATGCGCACAATAATGATGCTTAAGACCAACTTCCTCACCAAAAGGGTTCCTGTAAGTTGCCACGCTAACCGCACGCGTCCCCTCATCTCCTGTTATTCAGTGAACCATTTCTAACTTCCACCGTACGAACGGCCTTTTTTTAACCTCACTCACACTCAATCATTACTCTCCTTCTCTAACCTGCGCATCCCCACGTGCCTCTCTTTCATTCGCCTAGAGTTCGTAGCGTTCTTACAACGGTCTATCCATCCCCATAAAGGAGCCGTCAATTTCCCCGTTACAGATTCCCCGTCATTGTTAACGGACCCTGGACCACCACCGCCCTCCGCCAAAAAACACAATTCCATCCCTTAAATATCACTAAACTCAATCCTCTCTGTTTAAAGCACACATCAACAAAAGTCGAGCAAACAAAACGAGCCACAAATGGTAAAACACTCTTGCCATAGTAAAGGCCGTAAAGCTATTGAAGAACTTGCAATGGTCAAAGTTGCTGCTCAAGCTGGGGTTAGAAGTAGAGCTAGAAGTTTGCGCTCAGCGATTGCGAAGAAAAGATCAAGACATGTCAAGGTTTCTATTAAAGTTAGAAGCAATGTTACTAACAGTACTGGTCAACAACGAGTCGCAATTAGGTCTGAAAATTCAGTTTCATTTCCACCGGAGGTAAATGCCGGTCACCGGACGGTGACTGAAGAGAGATGTTCAAGCCCTAGCTTAGATGATGTTGATGACCATGCATCAATGTCTGCTTCTTGTTGTTCTAGTAATGGATCGTGTGATGAGAGAATTAAATTCGCAGATCTGGAGGTGAGAATTAGAGAGCAATTCTCAGTTATTGAATTCTTGAATTTTCGGTTTGTCGAACTTTAATTGCATCGTATTTAATTTATTTATTTTTATTTTTTATGCAGGAAGAGAGAGTTGAAGCTGAAACGGCAATGTATTATAGTAGTAATAGTGGAGAAAGGTTTGTTTGAGATATTAATTTTTGTTTTTAATGTCACCATTTATTTCAATTTTCGAAATTCAAAAATTTGGGCGATCCATTTAAGTTTGTTCCGTTTCAAATTCCTTCTCTCTAAGTTGGTAGAGTATTTATATACGTAAACTCTCCTAATATTCGTCTTGTTTTTTATTTATTTAGAGAGAGAACACCGACTTCTAGCGCCTTTGGAGAAGAATCAACTTCAGAAAACATGGAATCAACGGCAAACCCAGCAGTAATATTGAAGAAGCAAAATTCTCATCAAATATCATCAACGGACGCCACGGTGATTAGGATAACAGATGAAGAGGTTGAGAAATTCTTCGGCGAAATCGAGAAAAACGTTCCACAACGCTTGAAAGACAAGTAAGGAGAACTGAATTCTGATTAAAATTCAAGTGATCATGCATATTGTGCATGCACTGCACCAAGAAAATTTTGTACAAATTACAGTCACCATAGATAAACTAAATGGGACTAATTTATTTATTTATTTTTTTTGGTTTTCCATGGCAGGTATAACTTTGATTTTGACAAAGACGAGCCGTTGGAAGGACGTTATGAGTGGGTTAGATTAAATCCATGAAGAAAAAGCCAAGAAAGAAATTAACAATGGCGTTTGCTTAGGTCTTGATCATATTATTGCTTCCTTCCTTCGAATTTATTATATCTACCTAGGCTTAGGTTCTATTACTAATTTAGAACTCCCCATCTAGCAAGCTACTTCTTTTTTAATTTTCTATTTTTGTTGTTTTATGTACAGCCTTTTTCTCTATCTTTTATCATTTATTTAGAATTTAGAACCTTGGCATGATCTGTTTGTTCTTGTTTGTACGGTAGTAGTGACAACAAGGAGAAGCTTCTCTCCTGTTTTTCTCTTCTTCTGCGACAAAAAGAAATTTTGCAGAATTTGATATATAAGATCCTCTTGGGGAAGAGCAAACAGTGTTAATAATGAAGCTGGTTGTTCTAGATTCTTATGTTTTCGGGCAACTGTCCATAATTTTCGTGTCTGTTTTACTGCAAACTCTGATGCTACTCTCTTCTCTTTCTCCTTCAGTGCCGGTTTATAAAATTTTCAATATTTGTTTTTTTTTCAGCAGTCAAGAAAAAGAAAGAAGAAAAGGGAATTCTTTCGTTTGTCGTTATTCACTAAATTTAATTCTGATGTTCTTTCTTTTTATGTATATCAGAAATACAATTCTTCCTTTTTTTCTACAAAAAAAAAAAAAAAAAAAAAACCGTAGTAACTATTGTCATGGAAACCATAAGAGATAGGGAGAGCTCCGGGGTGATGGGGGAAGGGGTGGTAATTTTTAGTGGGTTGGGATAGGAGGGGACAAGAGCACGCACCATGCCGTGTGAGTAACGAACACGTGGTCAGGAACGGAAAGTTCTTCTCATCCCATGTGAGAGTGTTTTCATCGCGTTACAGGTTTTTCTTTACTTTTTTACCCGAATCAATTTCTAGTTTAATTTCTTTTTACTTTTTCAATATTCGAAAGTTCTTCGATTTTATTTCCATGCGTGTGCGCGAGCGTTTGTGAGTGGGAAAGCAACAAATGTATGAATAAATGTTGTTTGTCTATGGAAAAATAAAAGTACTGTCGTAATAATAGGATAGCCTTTATCTTATCCAAGATAGTACAATCCTTATCCATCTAGTATATCTCAAGAAAGAAAGACTCCTTGCGAAGTAGCAGTACTATACGGTGAAAAGAATAAAGTAACAATCTTCTTAAGCAAATAAAACTCTTTATGTACCACAATGTTTAGTTTTAGTTTGTCCCTTTTATGTTTTTAATCTTCCATACTAGCGGTCTAGAAAGAAATCTGAGTTTCACAAAAATAAAATATCAAGAATTGTTATTTATTAATTAGCAATGTGGTCTGAATCTAGAGCCTCTAGCTATTTTCTTTTTCTTTTTTTTCTTTTTTGGTATCTTCGAACACTTTTTGTTTGTCAAGACTTAATCCGTTTCTTTAGTGTGTTGACTAATATTCGTGTTGCGACTAAGAACTCATGAGATTTCTATTTGTTATAACATACATAATCTTAGAGATTTAAAACTTTAGTGGCTAACGAGGAAGTACAGTCCGTAACCATGCCCCTCGTATTAGTGCCCTACCGCCCTTAACTAGTCATGGCCAACACGAGAGGAAAGTGATTTTTAAGGGTGTGTTGTGTTTATTTTGTGAAAAAAATGTTCATATATTTGAGGGCAGAACAAATAACCAGTTTTGAATCATGCTAATGTGAAGAAAATATCTTAACCTTATATACATAGAGTAGCGGAGAGTATTCTCCACGTAACTACCAATTCACAATATATATATATATATATATATATATATATATTAGTGAGACGATCATTTAAGCACTGTTACTATCGTAATAACCACTTAATCACTATTATCACATCAACATTTCACCGCTGCTATTATCACAAACCACCAGCATTAAACAATAACATCTTTATCACCACCATTTTTAAAGATGGCAATTTCACTTGATTCAATTGAATGAATTTTCATCCGATTTGATCAAATGAAATTTATACTTTATTCTTTTATTTTTTTAAAAAAATATCAAAACGATGACGTTTTATGCATTTAATTATTATTTAAAAAAAAGTTTAGGGTGTTAAAAATAAAAAAATAAAAAATAAAAATTTTATAGTTTTTTTAAGATTTTATTTTTAAAAAGTTTAGACTTTTATTTTTATTTTAACCCCTTTAATTTTGAATTTTAAAAAAAAAACTTAAAAAAAATTAACAACAAAATGCACAAAACTTATCCTCCTAGTTTAACCCCTCTAATTCTGAACTTTTATTTTTAAACTTTTAATTTCAAAAAAAAAAAATGACAGCTAAATGTACAAAATGAGATTGTTTTGATATTCATTTTAACGATTAACTTAGTTGACCATTACATATAATGAGAATTAAGAAATTTGGATCAAATTTGTTTAAAAATTGATATTTTGAGATTCAAATTATGTAATTTAATATCAAAGATAAAAATTATCAAATAATAATAGAATAGTGATAATTTTTACCCTTAAACCCATAACTTTGTTACCAATAAATGTAGTTATTATTGGAACAACCACTTAATCAATATTATCACATCAGCATTTCACGACTACTACTGTCACAGTAACCACCACCATTTAATTTCACTTGATGCAGTTGAATCAAATTTTCACCTGATTTGATCGTGAGGGTCAAAATAAGAAGGATGAAAACATATAAAAACATGAATTGGTTTTACTTGTGTGGAGTTCGAAGACACGTAAATCATTTATCCATCTCGTCACCTAGTTTTTATTTTTTATATATTTTTTGGTTAATATATATGATTATGATAAACCGTAATAAACAAACCTAATTATTCAAATATTTTTTCTTACTAATTTCACTCTATAACAGACATTCTATTCTTTGATTTTTTTCATATATATAATTATTATCAATATTATATTGTAATTCCTAAAAAAATCAATCTAATTTTCTAACTTACTTTATAATTGAATTTTAATTTATAATTGTAAATATATGATAACAATGATTTTTTTTTATTATGCTTGAATTATCTAACATTTTATTTTATTGCATAATATTATGATTAGCTATGAAGATGCAGAAGAGAGATCTAAATAATAATCATAGTGACTAGCAGTGAGCACCCAATCTTTCTCACCTTTAATTTTTCTCTCCACTGATTTGTCCGTTGTTTCTTTTTCTTGTTTCTTTTTAGAAATTCTGTGTATCCGTATATATTACATATTTTCTCAAAAGTATCCATCCATAAACAATCAATAAATTATAACCTTTTAATTATTTTAATGGGAAGAAGAGATATATGTTAGATTTTAATTGGTTCCAATTAAATAAAAAAAAACAAAAATAATAAAAATGGCAAAAAAAACTATTGAAAAAATGTTACTATTTTTTTTTTAAATTATTTACTTCGAAAATCAATGAATTTTATGTAAAAAAAAAAAAAAAAAAAAAAATCCGAACATATAAAATCAAACTTTCATGAAAAAATAAATTAAAAAAATCATCCATGTGAAAATTACATACTTCCCACTATTAATTGTGTTTCATCAATACATCCATCATTTTATCTTTTATGACATATTATTAGGCCATACTTTTATTTACAGGTCCCAAATAATTAATGTCTAGAATATTGGATATCAATTTGTGATACTATAATAAGTACGAACAGAATAATCAATTTTTTAGTTGTTTTCACACTTCTTAAAAAAAAAAAAAAAAAAAAAAAAAAAAAAAAAAAACTAGTGTGAATGAAAAACTGAAAAAAATAAAAAACATTTCTAGTGCTAAATAAATAAAAATGGAAAAAATAATAAAATTTTTTATTTTTTAATCAATTTTTTTGAGAAAAAAATGAAACCAATAAAGATTAGACAGGTGTCTCCACCTTAAAAGTCAAAATGAACAGAAAATTGACCACACCATGATCAAAAGGAACTGTTGTTGTTTAACGGACCAAACTAGAGGGACTCAGTTGCCTAAATTGGAAACATATAAGTGTTTCTATCTAAAATCGATACCATAAAGGTGAGGGACCTCTAATGTCATTAAGTCAATTTTGAAAAGAGTTGGCATAGCTAACTACCGTATAGCTAGGAATAAGCGATTAAATTAATTTTTAGTCCTTGAATTTGAATTAGCTTGCAACTTTGTCCTTGAGTTCTTGTTGATCATTGTGTTGTTCAAACATATTTTTGGTTTTTTTAATCCTAAATTTACCATTTGAAAAAAAAAAACAAAAATCTTATAGAAAAGCTTACATGATGAGAATTAAGAGAAAATACGACTGACTTTTTATAAAGATAATGAACAACAAGAGTTAGGAAATTACCCTATATGAGTTTTCATATATAAAGGATTAAATTGTCCATGTGTTTAAAACTCAAGAATAATCTATGCAATAAATGCCCTTTCCTCCTCTAGTTAATTTACTATATTTTTTTCCATGTAAAATACACGTACATTAGTTTTTTTTTTTTTTACCCATGTTATACTACAAGTCGGGCATAATATATAAAATTATTTCAATTTGATGTTTCACATTATATTATACATCTATCAAAATATATCAAATCAAAACTCGAATAAAAATTCATTCAATTTTATATTTTTTAATCAAAAATTTGTATTTGACTGATTATTTTTCATAAACTTTTTATTAAAAAAAATTATTTATTTATCTCTATCCATATTCTTAACTAAAAAGTTTATAACAATATAAGAAAAAAAAAATCTCAAAATCAATGGATTCTTAGCTAAAAACCTTATTTTGTAAATTTTTTAAAATATTTTTTTTCCTTGAAATTTTTAATAAAAAAATCCAGAGAAAAAAAAGATGAAAATGAAACAAAAAAGAAGTACTAAAATGAAATAAAAAAAATTGTGAACCAAAGAAACAATGTTTAAAAAGGAAGATCAAAGTGTAATATCACGTAAATTTTTAGAATAAATACCTTTAAAAAGTTTAAAAATTATAAAAATATCACTATATAGTAAAATGAATAATAGCATGTGAATTTGTGTCGATAGTAATAATTTAGGTGAATAGTTGTTGGAACAGTGCTAGTTTTTTTTTTTTTTGGCTAATATATGCTTACCATACAAACTAGGAGGGTAAATTTCAGTTTCACACCAATATATTTTAAAAGATATCTCAACTGTATCTATATCCATATCAAAATTTAGAGTATTTCGAAAATAAATCAAATATAAATATATTATTTCTTCAAAAAACTAATGCAATAATTAGAATTTGAAACTTCAGAGTAAAGGATCTTTACCTTTCCATCCGAAGCAATTACGAGACCTCTGACGGCACTCTCCATTCACCAGAGAAGATGATCTCATTGCACCATAATTACATGAATTAGTTAAAGCACCAAATTATTCAGAAACTATATTAATTTAGTTTAGTATGTTTTTACACTATTATTTTGGTTTATTATGTCCTCCAATTATATATATATATGTTGTCTCGGCATGTAACAACGTATCATAGTTATTTTAGGACATATGATCTACTTATAAGATAACGTGTGTCTAACATTTAATTTAGAGGTAGATTTTTATTCAGTAAAAGAATAAATAATAAATAAAGAAAACATTGAAAAAGTTAAAGTAAAATATTTTTTTCAGTAAAAGATTTTCTTATTTAATATTTTTTCTTTATATATTTTTTTGAAAAAAATAATTCTTTATATTTTTTAATTATTTATAATTTTCCTAAAAAAATAAAAAGAGACCTTTTGTATTCTTTTCAATATTTATAATTAAAAATAATTTTTTTATTTATACTTTTCTTGAAAATTTTTAAAAGAAAATTTATATACTTTTTCAATATTTATAATTTTAAAGAATTTTTTTATATATTTTTTTTCAATAATCACACCGTTGCTGTTGCTGTCTCTAGCCTCATTTCCATACTTATTATAAAATCCTGATTTAAGAGAAAAAAGAAAAAGCTAATATTTTTTAGCAGTTGAAGAAGTTAATTGAATCACTATCGGATCTGGGAATCCGAGAATACTAAGTAGGCTTTAACTCCTTTGTAATAGCAATTATGACAATAGATGCGGATTGAAGAGCTTAAGCCATTAATGGTGGGTTTACCTAGAATTCCAAATCATTTAGAACTTTTAGAAGTTGTAACCAACAAAACACTCAGATTTCAAAAATGCATTATGTCTTCTCTGAAAAAAAAAAAAAAAAAAACTTCTTTGGTGGGTAAACGCGTTAGATATTTATCCAATAAACCTATTAGTTTACCTTGAGTAGATCCCACATTTGCCGCAAGACATTGTCCCTAAAATTATACATAAATAATTTTTTTTCGAAAATTTTTTTTATATAAAAATTATTCTTTTACTGAAAAAATTATTTTTTTTATATTTGTTTAATTATTATTATTTTTTTATAATTTGTTCTTTTATTAAAAGAATACTTATACCTGTAAATTGAATTGTGAACACATATTACTTTATAAACATGTGACGTGTCCTTTGCTTAACAAAGGAACATATTAAGTAAAATAAATAAATAAATAATATAATAAACCAAAATAATATTACAGAGGCAAAGGACATTTTAATGTTTTAACTCTTACATGAATGTATATATGTACAATGTTATAATATGTAGTACTCCACCAAACCATTACCGCTTATGTTCAGAGATGAAAAAAAAAGGAAGGTAAATTCTACAATGACATCACTTTATGAGAAATTTTAAAATATTTAAATAGTAATTATTGCATATACATAATAGTTATTATATAAATTTATTTTTGAGGAGAGATATAGATACAATAAAAAAAATATTATATTTTAACATATTAAAAGTGATGAGATAATTTCTATTCAGACTTTCTTTTCTCTCTCTTCTTTTTCTCTTATCTTTGTATCTATTTCTCTTTTATAGAATAACTTACATTAATTACTCCATTACTAATATAAAATTCCTCTTGACTTTACAATGTTGCTATTTCATTTAAATGCCATTGCTAATCATTATGTGACTTTGACATTCAATTTATTAAAAGTATGTGACTAAACTAGTTAAATAAGTAGCCAACATGAAGTATTGTTTATGTGAACACAAAGTTGTCCACATGTAGCTAAACTATTGGTTACTTATTTGAATTATTGGTTATACATATATAAAGGTGAAAATAATTTTATAGGAGAAAAATTGTTAATACAATAAGAAAAAACAAAAGAAGACATGCTAGTTAAAAATAAATAATAAAAAATAAGGTAAAAAAATCAATATACTAACATTAAGTGGACCATGTTAGCTTAAATTCATTGAAGTTAAATTGTTTTTAATACTAACTAGAAGTATGCTTATTTTGCATAAAATATTTTTTAAAAAAATAAATATTTTCTTAAAAAATATTTTCTTTTTATTTTTGATACATTAAGAAAAATATTTTTCTACAAAAATAAAATTTTTACATTGATAGTTGTGGGATGGTAGTAATAAAATAACGAAATAGTAATATTGGTGGTGGAGTAGCGGGGTGGTATTGATGCTCGTGATGGTTATAATTGTAGTTATGGTTGTGATGTTTTTATCGGTTGTGGTATTATTATGTTGGATGACGATAGTTATTGTTACACGAGGAATGGTTATATACATTCTTAGATCATGTAAGAATTTGAAACAATTATGTAACAAAAAAAATACAATCAATTATTTGTGTTGATAAAAAAAATGAAGAATATGAAAAAAATGAATAGATCACATGAATATTTATAACAGAATAGAATATCATAGGATAAAAATTAAAAAATTAGGTCGCATGCTAAAATATGTGTATTTATAGTTGAATAACAAATTATGTCATTTTTATTTTTTTTTAAAGTAAAAAGAAAATAATAATAGTATACGAGATGATCAAACTTTGGACCTTTTTGAGGAGGTGGACAAGTATTCAATAATAATAATAATAATTATTGTTATTATTTTGACTGTGTTTGGTAGAGAGAGAAGACAGAGAGCGGCATTGTACAATAGAGAGGGGACTGATTTGTGTCTGGTAAGGCAGACAAGGCAGAAATCTTTGTTCATGTCTCTATTTGGTAGTAGGAGATGAGATGGAATAAAATACAGAAAATATATGATTTATGCTTATCATGTACTTCTTGTGCATGTTATGTTTGACAAGTGTTTAAATATTTGTTTTACATATTTTTAATATATATGTTTTCTCCACTCAATAAAAATATTTTAATTTCAAGTAAAAATATATACATTAATTTATGTATTATCTTTATATCTAAAAATTGGAATAATGGAAAAAATATTTATTTATTTAATTATATTATGAATAATTATATTTCTTAATAATATTTTTTTTAAGAAAAATTAAGATAGTTAAAAGTATAAAAATTGTCATGTCATAACTTTTATATACATAAAAAAATAGTTTGTTAGAAAAAATAAAAAATCAAAGCATATTTTTCTGTATATATTAAGAGTAACAAAAATAAAAGTGATAAATTCAAAATTGAAAAATATATTTAAAAAAATAAAAAATCAAACAAAAAAGTAAAAAGAGAAGGAAATTGGGCTTGGAGCTAAGATACGATCTAGGCACCCTTGGGCCTGGATCCTGGCCCATCCATAAAATATGACGCATCGTTCAAGTTTTTTCTTCCCTGAGAGCCGGATTTTGGCTAGATGGACAGCAACATGGTAAGTCGTTGTTTTCTTTTCATTTTTCCAATAAAATAAAATAAAATAAAATAAAAAACTCCTCTAAGCATTTCCACAATTATTCTAAAACTCAAATATAAAAAAAAAAAAAAAAAAATGCGGACCAAGCCATGTGATGTGATTTCCAGAATTACGATAATTTGGATTCTTCAACTCTTGCCCAGTAGCCCCCAAGCCCAAAATTTTGTGCATGCAGTACTTTCTGCTTTTTTTTTTTTTTTCATTTCAATCGATTATTACCTTGCTTACAAACTGTTGGCCATTATTTTGATCGAAAATTTTTAATCCTCAAGGGAGCAATGCTAGGTGTAGGAAGTAATCTCTTTATTTTTCGTAATTCAGCTGCTTCAAGATGCAATAATCATAATGAAAATTATATGTTCCTGTTGGCATTTGCGTGCCATAACCGCTGAATATTAAGGGAAAAAAAATTAATGAAGATTAAAGGACATTACATTAGATCATAACAGAGGGTAACGCAAAAGTGGGATGCAGAAAAAAGGTTACAAAGTTGAGCTTCAGCCTAGAGCAATTCATTAACTATGGGAAAAGGGAACGAAGTTGAGCTTTGGCCTATACATTTTCATTGCTTGCTACTGATCGCATGGAACTGGATCTCATAGCACCCTCCTTCTCCAAAGAATATCCTATCAAAGCCTTCACAACTTGGCGAAATACCCGTCTGTAAGTGGGAAACTTCGATATACTTCTACTCATTCCTATCATCCTGTCAATATATTCATTATTAGTAGACAAATAGAATAAATAGCAAGGTGACAAGTTCTTTTACACAACATATCAGAAGAGAAAGGAAGGAAACTTGTCATATCTAGTTAAGCTCCATAACAGATTTGAGGGATCTAATCAATTTCTCATATTGTTCTCTAATCAAAACCACTAATCCAAATAATCCAAATGTGTGTATGATGTAGTTAAAGGGTCTTGCAAATAAGCAACGCAAAAGTGGGATTCTGTTAAAATGCATGTGAAAGAGTCAATCGTTGTCATCAACAAATACATACAGAGTTCGATAAAGAAAGCATCTGAAAAAAAATGTAGTGTCCCCTCGATTGCTAAGAATGAACAGAAGAGAAAGGAAGAAAGCATTTTTAGGCTTTCTCAGTATTCAAAAACCATTTATTCTTTAATAACTTGGAATAAGGAATGCAGAAAATTTTATACCTTCTGCTGATCCCCTGTACTTGAGCAGCTCGCAGAGCCTCTTGAGGTACTAAACTGCCATTATCCCAAGCCTCCATGCGTTGTGTATCATTTCCATAAAGAACTACCCTCTCCAAGAACCTTTCTTCACCTTCTTCCAATTTAAGGACCCTTATTTGCTCTTTTACGACCATAAGCGGTTGAAAGAACCAGTCAAACAATTTGTCGTTTGGTCTATTCAGATCTGTTAATTCAACACCATCAAAAAGCATAAAACCATCTGCACCAGCTTTAATGGAAATGAGGACGGTTTGCAACAATGAGTAACAAGGCAAGCCAACACTTATAATGGATACTTCATTGCCACCCTTGGCCTTCAAATAGTTATTGAGGTCAGCAGGCGTTATTGCACCGGCATTCAAAAGATCCTTGCCTCTCTTTTCACATGATCTCATCATATTTCCCCATACCTGTAGCATTCGGAGCCAAACAT